TAGTTGACAATATTGCAAATAGTAGCTCATTTTCCTTACGAATGCTCGGAACTCCAAAGATTATTAAAGAAACTAATAAACACGTTCATCCAAAGAGAGCTGTTATACCTGAAATGGCACTATTTTTGATTTTATGCTCCGTCCACCTAATGACGAGACACCAGTTATAGAAAATCCCCTGCTATCCACTTCAGAGCCAGTGGTAACTAGAAACTCTATCATACGTACCGAAGTTGCTGAAGATATTGAAATCGAACTTGAAGTGGTTGCAAAATTATTAGAAGAATACGAAATCGGAAGATATGAACTTTCATGTCCACGTGAAAATTTTCCCGATACTTTTCCTCTTAAACGGGTGACTCCAGCATTTTGTCTATTATGTTATCGAGAATATAGTTATAAAGATTCACATACAAGTGATAATGCATATATTATTCGAAACAAGAAATCGTATAGTTTTTATTGTCATCGTGCGAATAATAATAGGAAAGCTGAATCTAGAAAACCTTCAATAAAGTTGACCGTTAAAGAAAAAACTTCAGAACAAGAAGAAAGCCTTCCACTTCCAGAAAAATTAAACCAACCTAGAATAACGGATCCAAATGATTGTTTTGCATGAGGTGACTTATTAAACATGTGCTCATCAGGAGAAAAGTATATCCGTAATAAAGTTTACGAAGCTATTCAAGTAACAGTTGCTTTTATTGATAGAGGAAAAAAGTTTTGAATATTTAAGGTTGAAAATGAAGATGAGGATGGCGGACTTACCTTTGAATTTGTACTCAAATTAGAACTTGCGAATTATGAGATCAATATAATCAAATTTGGAGGAGAATCAATAAAGTTAAGATCATTAATAGATCGAGCAGTTACCAAAAGTCTAATTCGTTATCGCAAAATCAACTTACTTCCATATCCACCAAATATAATTTCACCGAAAACAAATTTCTTTAATCTTTTCCTGGGATTTATAGCCAAACCAGCACCAGAAATTAAAAAAGAAATTATGGATCCAATTCTCTGGCACGTAAAAAATGTAATATGTGATGAAAATGAAAAGCTCAACAATTACATCTGGAACTGGTGAGTATATTTAATACAAAAACCGGAAATGAAACCTCGTTCAATCTGTGTATTAAAGTCTACTCTTCAACAATGCGGAAAAAATATTATCATTGATTTTATTGGTGATAAAGTCTTAGGGCCAAAGCTTTATTACGCAACATCTGATCTGGGGAAGATTCTTGGAAAATTTAATACTCTTATCCAAGGTAAAAAGTTAGTAGTTATGAATGAGACCAGTATGTCTAGTGGGGAATGGCATAAATTCAATGGCCACCTTAAAGCCCTTATAACAGATCCAAAAGTATTTATAGAACGTAAAGGTATTGATCCTATTCATTTAAAAGATTACTTTGCATTTATGGTAACAAGCAACCAGGACGCTCCACTCAAAATAGATGCAGGAGATGCTCGTATAGTTTGTTTTGATGTATTTACACGCTGTAGAGGGAATATATCATATTTCAAGCATTTGGCTAAAATACTAGAACATCCTGATGCGCCAGGAATAGTTATGTCATATCTTCTTAGCTGTGATCTTTCAAATTGGAACCCACAAGATATTTCCAGTACTAAAATGAAAACAGATACAATACTGGAGCATCTTCCCAATCCTACTCGATTTATAATTGATCATATTTCGTCATGGTCTGAGGATCGAGTTGAGATACAAAGTAGTAAGATATTATATCAGGAGTATCGGGTATGGTGTGAAGCTAATGGTGAGAAACCATTTAGTAGTAATATATTAGGTAAAAAATTTACACAGATTGGCATTGAATACAAACGGGCAGGTAGCGGAAAGAGAGAGTGGCAATATATCCTTGATCGATTCAAAATTGTGGATAAGATATGTGAATCAGTAGGTGATATCGAGGAATTTACAGATGCACCTCAAACTGAGACATCCACTAACGCATCCATAGATATTCCTGTATTCAATATTCCAGAAATCATAACCCCCGAACCAGAAAAAAAGATAACCAAATCATCAACCACCGATTACATCAAAAAAGGTAAGGATACATCACCTATTTCACCAGTTATTAACATGACCCAGGAACTCTTCGATTCAATAATAGATCAACCAGAAAGTTCAGTTGCTTCGTCATCCAAGTCTGCTGATATATCTATGACTCCCGAGATCGAATATGTAGAATCTGTGGACGATAAAGTTGAACCATCTTTCGAGATTATTGAAACAGTGAATGATGAGCCTGTCCTACCTGTAAATAATGAACTCGAATCATCTCTCAAGTCCAGTAATGAAGAAGCTAACACTCGAGTGGAAACGTTAACTTCCACATATCCAGCCAGGAAGCAACGAGAGGCTCGTCTTCGTGAAAAAGCTATCAAACTTGGCGAGGATCTAGAGAAGTTTATGATTATAACTGAGAAAGATAAACTCGATTCGATAGTATTTAAGGATAAGATGCAGACTAATGCAAGGATGTGTGATTATGCGAAGGAAGGTGATGAAGACCCCAAAGAATATATACTCATGAAAGTATGTGATAGATTAATAGGAGAAGAAATAATTCGTCGTTATGATGAAGAACACGGAATTGCCTCATCATGGCTCGATACCGACGAGGAATGGAAAAAAACTATTAACATACTCCAAGAAAATGGTATGTTATGGTAAGTTACATGTATATAAAATAAGGAGCGAATAGGTGAGTTTTGTAGGTAGGAGTTTCAGTGTAGGGATTTTTTTTTGCTCCTACAATCTAGTCAATATAAATTTTCCAGATAAAAAATATTACGCAAACATTATTCGTTATACCGATATACTAGGTGAGATTAGTATTATTAACTTAACTTATTCGCATTTTGATAATATCGGTCTCTGGCTTGTTTCATAAACTACCCATTGGGCCGATAGAGCCATTTAATTATTGAGTGCTGTATTATTTTAGCTGAATCTATTCGTCTTCGATACCACGAACGAAATACCCGCTGAATAGTCAATACTGCTTATTTCTTGGCGTGATCTTGAGTAATAAGTCTTTTTTGCATCATTCGATAATTTAATGAATGAAATCGACCAGAGTGTTTTGGGCAGTACCCCGTAATTGATATAGTAGGCTTTCTACAGATACTGCAAGGTATTTTCTCTATATTTTCTCATGTAAACTCCAATGTCTGTAACAACCCGTAGGGCGTCAGCATTTATTTCCGCAAACAGAACCATCCCTTTTAACATGGGGGCAAATAGAATGATCCCTTTTAACATGGGGGCAAATAGAACGATCCATGAAAGTATTTTAGGATGTAATATATATAATATGTATAAGATTCAAATATCAATTTAAATATTTTGAATATATAATGAGATAAAATATCTTTACTTACATATACCATACACATACCACACCAATACCATACTAAAAATGAACGACCAAGATTTTGATATCCCCGAAGAAGTGCTTAATCTCTCCACTAATCGCTGAATCAAGAAAAATGAGAAATTATACAAAAGGTTGCTACGCGACAGTTATAAATACGTTGAAGATCTTTCGCATTATTTAGAAGATATTCTTCTGATAGATACTGACGAATATGGTACAATTCATCCCTTAGCTGATTTTTATCATTCGGCTTTGATCCTACCCCTTTCTACTTTGGCGGTAAGAAGAGATCTATACAGAAGATATCTGATTTCTGTAGGTACTGTCGTGAAAGGAGGAATGAGTCTACTCACTAAAGAAAAAAATGGAAAAACATCTTTAGAAAACTTGATCGGAATGGATTATTCCAGCTTATTTGCATTATTAGAAATGCGCTGGGAAGATAATGAAATACGGGGATGGAGGGATAATATACTTGCAAGATTTCTTCATCACCCGAATTTAATCCTGTCAAAATATAGACTGAATGCCTTATACGATGCATTCAGTAAAGTTGGCGTTCTAAGTCCAGAACATATACTCGTTATAGCTCGAACACTGCGATAAAAAATAGGGTCAAAGACCCATTACAAGGTAATAAAAATACAGTACCCAATCATCATAACCTGAGTCGTCACACTCAAGGTTAATTTTTTCGTTATATCCTACGTATTGCTAGATTTCAAATTGACAGATCTGACCCAAGGCATTGACGTGTACCATGTACCTGGTATATATCGATTATATTTCCTAGAACCCCCTTAAGCAATGCTATATCCTCTTTAATGCCTGCTATATTTTGCGCAATCTTATTTCGCAGAGCTACGGATTCCAAGACTTTTGATTGATCTCGTGTCTTACTCGAGTCCATTTTCCGATAGAATTACATTAACCACGACCCATTCATTTTTTGGGCATAGATATACTGGCCCGAGATAATTAATTTCGATTTGAAAAAAGAATCTCCATAGTGTATACAACCTAAAGAATTGCTCACATCCTACTCGACTTACTATAACATTCAACCATGTCAGCTATCGCAACTAAAATCGTTGAGAAATACAATCTCAGCTTCAAGACTGACCCATCTGAACTTAGTCAATATACCTCCGAGTTCCTCAAAAGCCTTACGGATGATAGAAAAAGGAATCAGGCACGTAGACGCCTACGAGATGGTTTTAAATTTAGCAATGAGCAGGTAAGCGTATTGGTACCTAATCAGAGAGGCGGTAAAAACAAAACTATAAATATCGTCAAAGGTAGTTGCAGAATAGCTATAGCTTCGCCCCCAAAAAATTTGGAAGAAGAGATTATCAGAGAGATAGCAAAACTAATCTTGCAAAATAGATATGAGTTTAGCGAGGATCAAGTAAATGCCTTATTTGCTTTGCAAAGCGACTTATGTCGCCTCTCTATCCAGGAAAATGGAAGTAAGATCGTAAATGTTGCGATTTCCAACAAACCCTCTAAAAGATTGAAGGAGGAAACTATCTATATGATTTCTTATATTTTCTTTTTTATGATTTTTATTACATATAGGACAGGATATAGAACTGTTAAAATCGAAGTAATCATTGTTAAAACTATGTTTCAGAGTCAAATAAGGAAATCGCTCTAATACCATTTCAATAACGTGTTGTTGCCTTTCTTCTGGGTCTTTAGGTAGAACAGAAATTGGGAATTGTCATTTTGATGGTGTAGATTGAACATTTACTCGCGGTACAAATAAAGTCTTTTCCTCAAAAGATTCAGAGAGTTTGGAATCCATCCAAGGATCGAGGCCAGTTTCTTCCGTATATGCTTTATATAAGATCAAGCGAATTTTATTAGTCAAAGAACTTGGTACTTCAATTAATTTAGCATACCAGTTCAAATATTCAAGGGTTAATGCTTTATCCATATTATTATTTTATACAATCGCAAATTCAAATTAAGTATGAGCTGTGACTTATTCTTTGGTCGTAGATGCAATTAAAAAAATGAATATAATATGATTCATAGAAGAGCAGAGCTCGAATCCCGATTCATCGCCTAACAGCCTGCAAAGCAATAACCCTTCGGATCTAACTAATTTACAGATGTTTGAAATCAGAGAATTTGCCGAAGGCAGTCACATAGTGGCTATATTTGGATGATTATTATTTATGCTATCTCGATTTCATGTTTTCCGCATTTAATAAAATAAGATCCAGCTTCGTATCTACCTTTTACACTTTTCCCATCCTCATGACTTTGCTTACACATTGGGCATAATGACCCCTCAATAATTCCGTAATAATCATTTTTTTCAGTAATAATTGTTTTATATAGACCAGAATATCGCAACAATGTCTTATTACGATAGTAGGTATGGTCATAGGTCGGATTAGATGTTACACTTGCTATACGTGTTGCCCAAATCCCAAATCATTTGGGATTTGGGATGCCAAAATTCCAAATTACTAGTATTTGGGATTTGGGATTTGGGATTTCGGCAAAAAATACTAATCATAATTTGGGATTTGGGATTTGGGATTTCGGCATTTGGGATTTCGGCATTTGGATTTTGAATTTGGGTGGCAGGTATAACACTTGCCTCAGTTTCTGGTAAAGTTTTCTTGGCTTCCTCACTCACCTCGATTTCTGGCAATTTTAACCGTGCCAACTCTGCTGATGAATCATTTGAGCTAGATAGATCTGACATATGCACGTAATAATTTGTCACACCGATCACTTTTATTTCGGAAGAAATGGCACTCTGTGCCTGGCAACTCATATCAGTTAACTTGGAAAAATCATTTATAATATTTTGAATTTGAATATCCTTTAAACTTGAAATAGCACTTGCGCTGTATTTTATTTGACTAATTTTATCAATTCCTATTCCTTCATATAATATATATACTTTTTTTGCTCTGGAGGTTATTTTACGCAAGTTTACATCAGTAATATCAGGAAGGAGCGATTTTATTTCATTATACACTATCGTTCTTGCCGATTGGTCATCAATAGATGCTTTAGCACTAGCTCCGCTATTATTTGCAGATTTAACATCACTGACTCAGTTTTCGTATGCTTTATAATAACAATACTAGCACAAACTTTCCTTTTGTCGAATCTTCATTGCTACCCTAAATAGATCAACTATATTTTGTGACGTAACCTTACTAGATCCTGATAAAATCGTTTCTAAAGAGAATTCAGAAATCTGAATATCAAATACTTTACTAATCTTGTGGTTATTATCTTTGATGCAAATAAATAGCTCGAGTCTTAAATCTCGTTCTACTTTTTGATTATAAGAAATTTTTGCGGAGCAAAGCACTTTGTGCCTCTGATTAGGCGATAGATTAGTAGGCGATTTGGACTCAGAACTTATTTCTGAAATATTCAGGTTTAATGGGTCATAGACCTGGGAGATTGTTTCCCCTCCACTTACCTCAGTTGAATCCTTTGGATTCGTTTCCAATATAACATTTTTTAGATCACATGATAAATTAGATTGGTTTGATGAATTATTATTGCCTTGCAATGAGGGTACGCCTCTATCCGAAGATAACTCATAACTATTAGAGATAGATTGCGATATTATAGATGATTCCAAATTTTGATTTTCGTAGGATGTTTCCGATGAAGTATTATTGCCTTGCAATGAGGCTACGCCTCTATCTGAAGATAAGTTTTGATCTCGAAGTTTTTTCTCCCTAATTCTTTCCATTATCTCTTTACTAACCTGTTCCTTATACCGCAAATTCAGAAATTCATTTTCTTCCTTCTCTTCCAACGATATGGTTTCTGCAGAAATAGGAGATGTGGGGGTTACCGAATCCTGGTATATATCAGATTTGCTGGAGGCAGACACAGAGTGGCTAGATGTGTTAGACTCCTCATTACGTGAGACTATCTGTTCAGAAGTATTATCAACCAGAGATAGGCTAACGCCAGAATTTGAAGTGTTATCGGATATATCTGATACCGAAACATCCTCAGTTTGTAAGTCTATCGGTTCGGGGGTATCGTTAGAATTTTCCATTTCAGTAGAAACACTTACTGTCTTTTTCTCGGCTAATGAGGAAATTGGCAAGTGCTCCAGAAGATCAGTGATTATTCCCTTTGATTTTATTTTTTCGAAATCACAGCTTAATTTTGCTACTTTGCTTTTAAGCTCAGAATTCTCAGCCTTGAGTTTGGTAATATCTTTTTTATTTTTTTCTAAATCTGCCTTAAGGTTAATATTCTCAGCTTCACGTTTAGCATTTTCTTCTATAATCTGTTTTAGCTCCGCATTCTCGGCCTCGAGATCAATGACTTGTTGTTTCAATAAATCAAACTCAGATTGCATTTTAATAACTTTTTATATAAAGCAGGTTTATTTAATTTTTAATTAGAATTTCCGTTTCAATTTATAACGCAGATCACTTTCGCAAAGAAAATTATTCCGAAAAATTATGCCTCATAAAGTGCCCTCTGGGCCTGATTACACATACAATATACGAAAAAATTAGGCATTTGCCAGCCTCCGGCTACTAGTGCGTGACAATTTGTCACACCGATCACTTTTGTCAAGAGCGGAGCTCGCTATTCCACAGCAGAAATTATTAGTTATATAGTACACGAAAAAATAACACATGATACGTTGAACATTCCTCTAACCAAAAATCTTTATTAATAAATATATGATAAAAATACAGGATAAAATATATAATATACGAAGAAAAATCTATTGATAATCGTGTTCCGGTGTAGTAACAGTGGGACTTGGAGAAGTATTTCGAGGTGGATGCGAAACAGCCTGTTCTATTGCGTGTTTAAGTAAATTCTTATTTACAATTATAATATTTCTCAAGGTCAGTAACAATCTCATTAAGGCTTTTGTGTGCAATCCTATCTCCACAGTTAATGGAATTTCTGCATGATCTAGGTGGAAGTATCTTGGTATCCCACTTGCATCATTAACAAGGACATTTAAATATATTTTCTCACCAGCTACTTGGACTCCGACCACACCAAATTGATTGCAAATAGGTCTACATGCAGAACTTATATAGCTACTTCCATCCAATAATTCTCGCCATAATTTAATCTCATCATCTGTTTTTTTAGTAGGACTGCAGACAATGCGAGAACTTTCTATATATAAAAATTCCACTAACTTCCCATTACACTTTTCTAGAGCCATAATATCAGGCTTTTTCCCCATTTTTACTTTACCTGTTCCATCGTTTCTACGTGTCTTACTTGCTAAGCTTTGACGTTCAGCCGTGCTCAAACAA